TTGAGTCTATTTTTGTGTGTGGTGTAAGGAAATGGTCCAGTTTCATTATTCTGCATGTGGCTGTCCAATTTTCCCAACACCATTTGTTGAAGAGACATGAATTACCTTTTAAAAGAGCAACCAGGAAAACCCAGGTCAGCCTAAACTCCATGGTGAGTTGTCTGTGTTCTGTCCTGATCAGTGAATGGCAACACCTGGGTTTCCCAAGGCTGGGGCTCCTCTCCCTGTTTTAATCAGCAGAAGGAGGGCCCTATTTGCATGCCCTCACATGGGGTCAGGGGGCAAAGAGCTTTCCCATTCCTGATTTATAAAGGCACTAGTCCCGTCAAGAGACTGCTCCCTTCGGGCCTTTGTGCTTCCCTAAGCTCCGACCTCCTCCTCCCATCACATTGGCCTTAGGTTTCAACATGGGGATGGTAGAGGTCATACACGTTGAGCTGATATCAGCAACTGGGGGATTGATTAGTTATTCCCTGCAGGTGGAAGGCTCCTCCCATCCAGGACCTCAACATGAGGACTCTCATAGATCCAACTGAAACTTCTATTCTTCACATGCACACAGTGAACACAGAACCTTCAGTACCAGCTGGTGACTTTGTGGAGTGGACAAATTCCACCTAAGACACTGGGTAAGATATCAGTCCACTTCAGTTATCATTTCATAATGTGTGCTGCTTCCCTGTAATCAATCTCATTTTCCTAGGATTCAGGCCTTTGTCTACTTGGAATGGCCATTTGTCTCTTTTGTTCTCCAAGTTTTCATATTGTTTAGTGGAATCAGTCATCATACTCTATCCTTTGATTCTTGCCTGCTATCTCCTTGAACTTCTTTTCTCTGTCTTCTCCACCCAATCCACCCATGGGAAATCCAACAAGAACCAGTGTGTTCTCCCTCCTTTGATGCAGGTAGGAGATTGACTCCACACACACTCCTCCCATAGTGAGGATGATGAAAGTTTTATAATCAGTGTGTGAGTGTGTGTGTGTGTGTGTGTGTGATCTTCACAGTCCACATCCACACCATGTCCTGGTGGATTTCTCTCTGCTTTGCCAGTCTGTCAATAATATTGATGCTGTGAGCACGGTTTAAGACAGTGACCAGACCACGGTTCTTTCTTCTCTTGCTTGGGGGAAAAAGCTATCATTAGAGAGGAAGCCCCACAACCTGAGAGGAAACCTGCCCATAACCACCATCTGAACTGTGCCTGGGGCTGAAAGAATTGCTAAGTATTGTGTATTCCCTGATGGTCCAGATCACCTTCTACAGTGAGATTTGTGTCTGGGCTCACACTGATGTCCCCTCACCGTGTCACTGGCACAGTAATACATGGCTGTGTCCTCGGCTCTCAGGCTGTTCATCTGCAGATACAGTGTGTTCTTGCCATTGTCTCTGGAGATGGTGAATCGGCCCTTCACAGAGTCTGCATAGCTTGTGCTACTTCCATCATACCTAATCCATGCGACCCACTGCAGTCCCCTGCCCAGAGCCTGGCAGACCCAGTGCATGTAGTAGCTGCTGAAAGTGAATCCAGAGGCTGCACAGGAGAGTCTCAGGGACCCCAAGGCTTCACCAGGTCTCCCCCAGACTCCACCAGCTGCACCTCAGACTGGACACCTGCAGACACAAAACATCCTGGTCACAATAATGTCACATATCCCCCATTTCTCTCACTCATATCCACTCACATACTCAAGGTCTCTTATTCTTTGTAAATTACCTTTTAAAACAGCAACAAGGAAAACCCAGGTCAGCCTAAACTCCATGGTGAGCTGTGTTGTGTCCTGATCAGTGAATGGGAACACCTGGGAATCCCGAGGCTGGGGCTCTTCTCTTTGCTGCAGGGTGTGGTTTGGCTGATTTAATCAGTGGAGGGAGGGCCTTATTTGCATATTCCCTGAGTGTATAGCCAGCTTGAGATCTATGTTGACTGAGAGGTCAGTGATGAGAGCAGGTGTGACTGCTGTGATTTTGTGGTTTGACAGCATCTGGAAAAATATGATTTTTTTATTATATGATTGTCCAGAGCACAAAGTTAGCCTCCATGTGTTACCTTTCTTTACACATTAACAGAAATCTTGAGGTGTAGATTTCATGTGAGAGATGTGAACCTACACCCACAATTTTAGAGGGTTTGTAAGGTGTCCAAGAGCATATATGGGGTGAGAGTCACCCCAGTATCTGTTCTGTGCTCATCCCCAAAAGACATATTTCTCCCCTGAACCACCTGCAGAACAGAGTGGGCAGGCTCATGAGTAATGTGGAACACCTCCTGTAATGAGGACAGGATGATTTTGCTTTTTCTTGAGTTTACCTGAAATACAGAGAGAATCAGGGTTCATACAGGTGTATTTTCCTGTCTCTAACATTTCACTATCTCTGTGTTCTGCCAGAGTCGTCTCTGTGATTATCTGTAATGGCTTTGGTGATTCCATTTGACACAGGATGAACTGTATGCACGCAGTCTGTGATATGATAAACACAGTTGTCAGAATCAACATTATCCAGAGTGAGCAAATCAATTCTCTCTACAATTTCCTGTTTTTCTCCTAGAATGCCTCCTTCCAATCCTCCCTTCTTCACCCTGTCCCCACATAACTATTGATCTTCTCATGTTACCTTAGATTAGCTTTAATTTGCTAGAATATATAATTCTGTAATTGTATTAAATGTACTTTCATTTCCTTAACCAAATCCTCGACAATACCACCGTGTTTCTGTTTGTAGCACAAATCATAGTTTTTAATGATGGGCAGGTTTTCAAAATGGCATTGAGCACAATATGTCCATTCTCAAGCTGATGATTGGGCTTGGGAGTTTGCATGTTTCTGTATTTCAGTAAAGTCATGCCTCAGATTGGAGTTGCAAGAACTAAGAAAATAAATATGACAAGCTGCAGATCAGCAAATTTGAATCAATATATTTGATAATTGTGGTCATGAGACAAACAATAAACTTAAACACTGGTGAGAGAAAAGTGCTCACAGGGGATTAAGAACCAGCATCTTAGCCTATTGTGAGCACAGTCCCCTATGACAAACATTCACAAGATGTAGCTAGAATATGCAATGGATTTCTTGACATCGAGTGTGCTAAAGGTGTTATAGTGTGAAGTTCTCCAGGACCACATCACTAAACTGATACTGTCGTCGTGCATCCCTTTCCTGTAGGATGGGGACAAATCACAAATCACCACCCCCCCCACCCCCCTGGTGGTCCTTGCAGGATGGGAGGAAGATGACTCAGAGTGGGAATGCATGGAGACCCATGGCTTCATGTCCACCACAGAAATAAAGAATTTGTCTGCAGAGTAAAGTCCTCAGAATTAGCATCCTGTGGTCACAGGTGGAACCCCATAGGATCTGGGAGAGGAACAGGTGTCACCACCAGTGTTCAGTTGAGGACCACACACCCTTTTCACATGGAATGAAAGCTTTAATCTCTAGGGAAAGGTAGGAAAACAGGAAGCTGAGGATACCCAGGGACAACTGGAGTTGCAGGAGGGAACAATAGAGAAGAACAGATGACTGTGTACCCAGAGATGGGCAACAATACATGGACTTGGACCGCTGGTGGAGGAGGGACAGGGACATGTGCAGGCCTCTCCCAGAGCCAGATTCCCAGTGAGCACCTGAGGAGTTGGCTCGGTCAGCAAGTCAGAGCATTCTTGTGGTCCCACCCCTTCCACAACATTAACGATGGTCACCTGAGTGGAGCGGTAGAGTGTACTTGAGAGAGTGGATGTAGACTCTACATGGGAGAGCTCAAGGAGATCACAGTGCTGATCGGGGAACAGAAACAGGGGATCACTGGAGGAATCTGAACTCTCTCGTGGCCACAGCAGAGACACACTTCACGGCTGCTACCCAGACAACCCCAGCTTTCCAGTAGAGCCAGGGAGAGAGTCACACACCCCACAGCATAGGCCTCACAAAGACAGGGTGTGATCATCTATGGGAGGAAACAGAAACCAGTACAACATGATAACGATCTAATACCAACTGCCCTATGCAAGTTAGACATTCATCCACCCTCCACCACAAGCCCAGGGGTTCCACACTGTTAGGGAACATCTCTGCTCCTACCTCCTCTATCCTCTCATGTTTAAAGTCCTGGGTGTGCAAGTTTGGGGATGGCAGCTACAGGTACACATCATGCTGAAATTTGTCAAAGTTGCTCAGTCCACTGTTTCTGGTAAGTCAGACCTGCTCCACTGGCTCACTTATCCTGAGTGGACTTAACTCCCTTGAAACAGCTTCACTACCAGGTATGTTCATGTGTAAAGTATGTAATAGGATGGCAGAGCTGTTAGATTTTATCATCGCTGCAATCAGTGTGACCTCCCTGGGAGCCTCCTGGGTGAGTCCTTCTCTGTGAGTGACACATTTACACATTAACACCTTCTCTGATCCTGCATTGACACTTCACACCTGAGTGACAGGGGCAGGTCACCCACTCAACTCGTGTCCTCACCACTGCACTCAGTGATTTAGCCCAGTCCTCTGCAAAAGCCCCTATCTGTGTATCTTCATGAACAGAGCCATGGATGCAGGATCTCGTCTCCTGGTTCTCCTGTAGGTTGTTAGCGTGAATGAAATTTTAAATAGACTACCTGCCTGACCCAAGGATTGGAGACCATAAAAAGTTGGATGATCCAATTATGAGGGTACAGCTGGACTCAGTGCTAGGGCCTGGAAGAGTGGACTGACCTGCTCTGGGACTGCAGAGGGGAGGAGAAACCCCCAACATCCAGGTCCAAATGAGTGTCATGCTCAACAGGTATTCTCTGGGCCCATAATCTGCACAAAGAGAGGTGAGTGTCCACCCTGGCTCCAGGCTGTGTGTGGACCTAGATGGAAACCAGTTGATATCACTGCCCCCAGGGAAGGAAGTATAAGAGGTGTGCTTATGTTTATGTGGGTGCAGGTGGGTTGCTATGGGGCGCTCATCCCCAGGAACCAAAAACATGCATGTGGGACTAACAGGAATCTGTGATGTTGTGGATATTACCAATGACAACTCTGGCTGGACACTAGGACGTGTTCCCTGGTTGGTGTGGAGACCCATTAGTAAATGGATTGCAGACAATTTATAGAGATTGCCTCTACACAAGCCCCTCAATGAGTGTAGGTGATAAATTTTTATACTCTCTTGTCTGTGTGTGTGTGTGTGTGTGTGTGTGTGTGTG